AGCTTCCAAGAATTGCCCAGTTATTGACCTTCCTCCTGTGTTGAATGCCCCCAGGAAGGCAGAAAGAGGAGAGATGAAATGCTGAGCTAAACCCAGGTGGGTGCTCTCACTGTTGAGCTTGAGGGTTTGGTTTTAAGACCCTCTTGTAGCCACTAGATGGAGGCTTGGCTCTTCCAAGAGCCCAAATCTCTTCCAAGAGCTATCCAGAGTCCAACTGACCCTCTAGCAGGATGGGGTCTGCTTCCCTTTGTTGACACCGAGGAAGCTGAGGGTCCTCTTGAGCTGCCCATATCATTTTCTGTTTTGCCTATCTCCTGCAGGTTGATGCATTACAGAGGATGACACCCGTCAATCACACTGATGTGCATGAGTTCATTCTTTTGGGGCTGACCACCCACCCAGACCTCCAGGTCCCCCTTTTCATGGCTTTCCTGGCCATGTACATGGTGACCCTTTTGGGGAACTTTGGGATCATTGTATTGTTCAGGACTAATCTTCACCTTCACACCCCCATGTACTATTTCCTCAGCCACTTGGCTTTTGTCGACATCTGCTACTCCTCCGTCATCATCCCCAGAATGCTGGTGCAGATTTTGACGCTGGAGAAAACTATCAGCTTCTCGGGGTGTGCAGCCCAGCTCTGCTTCTTTGTCACTTTTGGGGTCACCGAGTGCCTCTTGCTGGCTGTGATGGCCTATGACAGGTACGTGGCCATCTGCAAACCCCTCCTGTACCCCACCATCATGTGTGGATGGATGTGCTGGTGGCTTGTGGCTGGTTCCTATGCTGTTGGTGTCTTCCATGCGGTGACCCACACCACTTTCATCTGTACCTTCTCCTTCTGCCACTCCAATGTTATCAACCACTACTTCTGTGACGTTGCCCCACTCTTAGCTCTCTCCTGCTCCAACACCCTGGAGGGGGTCATCCTTGCTCTCGTCAGCATGAACTGTCTCAGCACCATGACCATCATCTTTATCTCCTATGCTTACATCCTCCCCTCTGTCCTGAGGATCCGCTCAAAGGAGGGCAGGAGAAAAGCCTTCTCCACTTGCACATCCCACCTGATGGTTGTCACCACGTTCTATGGGGCAATCTTGTTCATGTACCTGCGCCCCAGCTCCACCTTTGCATTGGATGAGAACAAAACAGCCACGGTGTTCTACACCATCATGACCCCCGCGTTGACCCCCTTGATCTCCAGCCTGAGGAACAGGGAGGTGAAGGCTGCCCTCCTGAGAGCAGTTGGGAGAAGGCAGTGAATGGAGGAAGCTGGTGACCAGGAGGGTGTTTCCTTGTTGCTGTTATTGAGCAGGACTCATTGCAGCACCGAGGTCTCTGTGAAGGTGTATTGAGGTGATTACTCTGTAATTTCTCTCTCATTTATAAGGTATCTGACACTGATTTGTCATGTAACACGTGCCTAGATGAAGGTGGGTGAGATGAAGCCCAACCTCATTCATCACCAATGGTCAATGTGCACAAACAGCTCCTCCAAACACCTTGATTCATCCTGTTCATCACATTGCTCTGTTCAGTCACTACAGAGACAGCATGGACTACCCTGAGCATGGGTTTCCAGGTTGCCAAGGTTCAGAGGTGAACTCAAAAGAAGAGCCAGAAACCCTCTTCTTCTGGAGTGTCTCTGAAACCCAGTGCCTACCGGGATGGGTGAGAACGGAATAGACCCAAAGGACCACAGGACATCATATAATCAGTTAATAACTCAATCACACAAGTCTCCACTGTACAATTTGTTTATTGGCTGTTTGGGGTTTTTCCCCCAAAAAATTTTTTGGGGTTTCCCCAAAAAAAATTTTTGGAAAAAAAGGGGGAAAAAAAAAAAAAATTTTTTTTTTTTCCCCAAAAAAAACCCTTCCCCTTTTTAAAATTTTTTTCCCTTTTTTTTTCCCAAAAAAAAAAAAAGGGGTTTTGGGAAAAGGGGGTTTAACCCAAAAGGATTTTCCGGGCCCCCCTGGGTTTCCCGGAAAAAACCAAAATTTTTTTGGAAAAAATTTTTTTTTTCCTTTTTTTCCCGGGGGTTTTTAAAAAATTTTTTTTTCCCCCCCCCCCCCCCCCCCCCTTTTTCCCCCCCCGGTTTCCCCCCCCTTTTCCCCCCTTTTTTTTTGGGAACCCCCCCCCCCCCCCAAAAGGGGGGCTTTGGAAAAATTTTCCCCCCCCTTTTTTAAACCCCCCCCCCTTTTTCCCCAACCGGCCCAAAACCCCCCCAAAAGGGGGGCAATGGGCTTGATGATTTTCTTATCTGGCCTCATATGTTGATTCTAATGTTTGTCATCAGGTACCACAAGGGGTGGGCAGAGAGATGAGGAGACAAAGAAAAGAGAGATGAATCCCCTTGAAGATTTACCTTCTTGGCTAATATGATGCTGTATCCCTTGTTGACCCTTTTTACCCGAGAATACTCGCTCACGGTCTTGTCCAGCAAGATCCCATGTGTCCCATGGAGCCTTTGGCTAGAACATATCACCACCATGAGGGTCCACGTGGAATCACAAGTTTGGAGACCACAAAAACAAAAGCATGCTGAAGATCTCTGTGTGACAGCCCCACACCAGCTCATCTCAGAGGGCAAAGCAAGCAGGTACAGCCTCTCCTGTCCCAGCATTGCCTGTGGTGTGTGGTTGGGGATATTTATCCATTGCTTCATTCTGTATCTCCTTAGGTACCAGGTCCCTGAAGCAGATACTCAGTGTGGCCTTTGCTCCCAATGAAGTGTTGCTGCACAGCTGTGCATCCCCCAGAGATGGCCTCAGTTACTCCCTGCACCAAGAAAGACCATTTCAGACCTTTTCAGAGCTTTCATAGCTCTCCATGTTACGTGCTCGCTGTTTCCATCACTGCAGCTGCAGAACAAAGGTGCAATCTCAAGAACATCCATGTTCTTTACATTGAGCTGATTATATCTTTTTACCAGCCTGAATGTAGAAGGAAACAAGAGCTCTTCCTTGGAGTCTTCCCCAGAGCATCCTTCAGCTCTGTGCTCCCGCAGATGTGGATCTGGGCTCTCAACATGGGGATTATCAAGGTGAAGTCAACAGGCACCAGGCTGGACAGAGTCTTGGGTGACTTGGTGTAGTGTGAGGCATCCCTGCCCATGGCAGGGGGTTGGGCTTTCAGGTCTTTTCCAACCCAAACCATTCCATGATTCTATGGCACCCCTTTGTCCTGGTGCAGGGAATAACTTGAGCTCTGCAGTCAACAGTGAGAAGTGGGAATTTCTGGGTAGTACTCAGTTCAGCTATTTAGGGTGGTTGTTTTGGAGTAAGGTGAATTGCTTCTTAGAGGACCTGGCAACAATAGGGTGAGAATGGTCAGATGAAGAACCAAGCCAGTAGACGACAACATTCAGCTAAACCATGCTCAGATTTAGCTGGTATGCTCAATATAAGCACTGAGTTAGTTATAAATGATCTGTCAAAGAAAAACCCAAGCAGAGCAACCCCAAATGTTCTTTCTAATTGAATTTTGACATTTCTTCCTGGAGTCCTGCAGGCTGAGAGGCACCAGGAGAAATACCATCCTAATGCATTGGACTGGCCTGTGCATTACATGCTAAAGCCACTGAATGATTCATTTCATCCCCTTTTAGACAACTCAGTGCCCATCAAATGAGTGTTGAAACAATATAGATAAGAGTGGAATGAAATGAAGCTTCAAGTGCAGCTGATGAGCATTTTCTTATGCATTTGCATATGTCTGGGTGTCTTCTCTCATTCTCATGACAAATGTTTGGGAGTTATGGACCCAAAATGGATCTATTTAGGGAAAGAAGCCACACAGACTAAATAGACTTATTTTTGGGGGTAGGTTTTGCTTTGCGCATCCCTTTACAATAAGCTTCACTGGAGGATTTTGGCATCATGGCAAACTTGAGCACAGATTGTCTTTTTATATAGCTTCTGAGTGACTAAGATTTAATGAATGGAATAAGGAGAATGATTAAAACCAACAACCCAGACACAATCAGGCAGACATCATGATGCCTCAAGCTGATGATGCTTTTCCTACCTTAGATACCTGCCAGAAAATGTTGTTCTTGTCCTTTTAGACTTAAGTTGTGCTGGAAAGCTGGGCACATCATTGTGTGTAAGTGAGCTGTGAATATGGGATGAGGTTGACCCCTCTGTGTTGAGACGCTGTGAGGGCAGTGTTCAGGGCCAGGTTGGACACAGGGGCTTGGAGCAAGCTGCTCTAGTAGAAGGTGTCCCTGCCTGTGGCAGGGATTGGAGCTGGATGAGCTTTAAACTCCCTTCCAAGACACACCAGGCCGGGGTTCTATGAAACAATCTAATAAGAGGGACATCTCCAGCTCCATAAACTAAAATCTCTTGAAGAAAGTAGACAGGGCAGTGTTTCATGAATCCATGTATCAAGACCACAGTGTGGTGGGTAATATGTGTCACAACACTTCAACCTAGTGGACAGATATCAGTGTGATGAATTTTGTTTAGGTACTACTGCAGTTCTGGTATTGATTTGAGTTCAGGTGGTTGCTGTTTCCTTGCTCTTCTCATCAATGCTCATAGCAAAATGGAAGAAAAACTCCAGTGAAATGATAAAAACCTGGTGTGGGGACAATGACTCTCTTAGTCAAGTCAGCAAAGGCAAAAATCAACATTTGGAGTGGGTTTTACAGGAAGATGTTAACAAGGGGCAATGGTGAGAGTAGGAATGGTTCCAGGAACTGTTCTTTGCATTGCCAAAATCCTGTTTAAGTAGCATTAGGAAAGCCAGTTGAGAAAGTTATGAGAATAATCGGGGTGAATCATGTAGACATTCTCTTGTCATTCACTCCCTCTCCTCAACGTGGGAGTAGGGGGAAGACATCTCCAGTGTACCTGGAGATGAAGAGATTGATGCTCTGGGTGGATTTTGCTTGTTGTCAAGCTTCTATTCCCCATGGAGTGGAATGCCTCTGGGGTCTCAGAAATGAGTATAAATATACCTTGAACACTAGAAATTACAGAGGGCTCTTGTCTGCCCTTGCAAGATGCAGCAGCAAATCACCCTCTGTGCACCTTCTAAGGAAAGACTGCTAAAACCCACTCTCAACATCTGCTTGAAGATGAATGTGGCTTCAGTCATCATCTGGAGGAACACCCAAACTCATCCCAGGCGCTGAAGGAGCTCCATGGACCCTCCAAGTTTCTCCATCATCATTGTGCCACCTTAAATTTAATTTCTTATGGACCGTGTCTGCTGAAAACTGTGTGTTCATCTCAGCTTTAAAATGCCCACACTTCTGCTCTGCTTTGCTTTGCAAAGGGAAAGGAAAGTCAACTGGAAAAAGATTTCTTCAAGTGGAATTGTCCCATGTTGGTTTTAGAAAACAGCAATTATTTTCCAAATGTACCTGTCATTTCCTAAGGAAAACCCAAAACGCATTCAATGTCTGTGCTGGCTTGGCCTGGGATAGAGCACATTGTCTTCATAGTAACAACTATGGTGCTAGGATTTGGATTGGTTCTGAAATGGTGTTAGTAAGTCCAGGGTGTTTTAGTTATTGCTGAGCTGTGTGGGGCTTAGTTGCCATCTGGGGTTAAACCTCGACCATAGAATAGTTAGGGTTGTAAAGGACCTTAAGATCATCCAGTTCCAACCCAGCTTCCAAGAATTGCCCAGTTATTGACCTTCCTCCTGTGTTGAATGCCCCCAGGAAGGCAGAAAGAGGAGAGATGAAATGCTGAGCTAAACCCAGGTGGGTGCTCTCACTGTTGAGCTTGAGGGTTTGGTTTTAAGACCCTCTTGTAGCCACTAGATGGAGGCTTGGCTCTTCCAAGAGCCCAAATCTCTTCCAAGAGCTATCCAGAGTCCAACTGACCCTCTAGCAGGATGGGGTCTGCTTCCCTTTGTTGACACCGAGGAAGCTGAGGGTCCTCTTGAGCTGCCCATATCATTTTCTGTTTTGCCTATCTCCTGCAGGTTGATGCATTACAGAGGATGACACCCGTCAATCACACTGATGTGCATGAGTTCATTCTTTTGGGGCTGACCACCCACCCAGACCTCCAGGTCTCCCTTTTCATGGCTTTCCTGGCCATGTACATGGCGACCCTTTTGGGGAACTTTGGGATCATTGTATTGTTCAGGACTAATCTTCACCTTCACACCCCCATGTACTATTTCCTCAGCCACTTGGCTTTTGTCGACATCTGCTACTCCTCCGTCATCATCCCCAGAATGCTGGTGCAGATTTTGACGCTGGAGAAAACTATCAGCTTCTCGGGGTGTGCAGCCCAGCTCTGCTTCTTTGTCACTTTTGGGGTCACCGAGTGCCTCTTGCTGGCTGTGATGGCCTATGACAGGTACGTGGCCATCTGCAAACCCCTCCTGTACCCCACCATCATGTGTGGATGGATGTGCTGGTGGCTTGTGGCTGGTTCCTATGCTGTTGGTGTCTTCCATGCGGTGACCCACACCACTTTCATCTGTACCTTCTCCTTCTGCCACTCCAATGTTATCAACCACTACTTCTGTGACGTTGCCCCACTCTTAGCTCTCTCCTGCTCCAACACCCTGGAGGGGGTCATCCTTGCTCTCGTCAGCATGAACTGTCTCAGCACCATGACCATCATCTTTATCTCCTATGCTTACATCCTCCCCTCTGTCCTGAGGATCCGCTCAAAGGAGGGCAGGAGAAAAGCCTTCTCCACTTGCACATCCCACCTGATGGTCCTCACCACGTTCTATGGGGCAATCTTGTTCATGTACCTGTGCCCCAGCTCCACCTTTGCCTTGGATGAGAACAAAACAGCCACGGTGCTCTACACCATCATGACCCCCATGTTGAACCCCTTGATCTCCAGCCTGAGGAACAGGGAGGTGAAGGCTGCCCTCCTGAGAGCAGTTGGGAGAAGGCAGTGAATGGAGGAAGCTGGTGACCAGGAGGGTGTTTCCTTGTTGCTGTTATTGAGCAGGACTCATTGCAGCACCGAGGTCTCTGTGAAGGTGTATTGAGGTGATTACTCTGTAATTTCTCTCTCATTTATAAGGTATCTGACAC